ACTTTAGTAAATATTTATTTTTAAGTTGTAACTATAGGTTTTATAGTTGTAGTTTGCAACCAAAAACTATAGCTTTCCAAACTGTACTTAAACTAAAATTATGCTTTAGGCAGAAGATGGACTTGTGTACAAATTTGAATTGGATGAAAAAAATAGAAGGTGCTAGGTCTGATGAGTAGAAGATGAGAAGGAGAGCAACTAGTTTCTTTTTCCAAAATTGTTGAAATGTTTTTTTTTCCTTTTTCTTGATTGATATCTACGAAAATATTTTCCTTTTGTTTGATGAAAATGTCTAGCAGCAATCCTTATGCATAATGTTTTCACTTGATATTTTTATCAGATGGCCAATGTCTGCTGCTACCAGCTTCATTTATACTTCTCCCAAACTGATTTGGAAGGGAGTTAGTAGCGGCAAAAAAAAAAGAAAGAAAAGAAAAAAGGGAAAGGGAAGCAAAAATAAACAAACAATTTAAGAGTTTTGAAGGAACTTCAGTTTGGTTTAGGTTAGTCAACTGTTAAGTTAAAAATACTATAGATTAAATGTTTATCCGGTGAGATCACCTTCTTTTTTGTGAATAAACTGAGTGGACAAATTAGATTTAGAGAGAATTAGAGTTGGATGAACAACTGTTCGACATGGGCAAATGAATTTGTTGTTGTGGGTGCATAAATTAAGATTTAAGCACCCAGCTACCACAACATACGCCAAGCATGGTGGTAACAAGAACACAAGAGTGTTGAAAACAATCATAGGTATAATTCATCCTACTGAATAATAATTATTTCTTTTTGTATTTCATATTTTTATGCCAAAAGCAAAGCTAGTGTGAATGGACGCAAACTGTTGCATCAGAAATTCTTCTTATTAACTAGCTTTACTCAAGGAGATTATCTTTTTGCAGGATGCACGGAAGCGTTTTGACAAGGCTAGCCTTGTGTATGATCAGGTATGTCGTAGAGATTTCCGTTTTACATGTTTAGCATTCATTGTGAATGTTCATATTTTTTTCCTGGTTTTGTTACAAATTTATATTATGTTACTAAGAGCTTCCACAATGTGGAAGCGAATATAATTGTTGGATCATATCTAAATATTGGTTTATCTCTTGCTTGTAGCACCAAAAAAATAAAATAAATCTAAACCTTCATTTTTTTTATTCAAACTTGTTTGTTCTTCATCCAACCGTTGTTCATCGTGAGCGCTTGATAAGCTAAAATATTACAACCTCTTGGAAATGGAGGTGGGTGTTGGAAACCACCATCAGAACTAATCTAGTATTGCCTAAAAAACTATATAGCATGTTAATTTTAAGGTATTGCTTAATATTTAAAACAATATTTTAAAAGGTATTTAGGAGGTGTACATTGAGGCAAGCAGGCCACCTTTCAATAAAAGCATTGGTTATACGAAGCCATAGTTACTAGCTATGTTACCTGGGTATTTCTATTTGGAAGTTGTACTCGTATTGGACATGTACCAATACCCATTCCCATACCCAAACTTCTTGGACGCTTTTTGAATATATGTACATGTTTGTTGAAGCAATTATATACCACATATTTTAATTTAAAACACTCCTCGTGCACTTCTTTGATGTATATTCTACACTTTGCATCTATTTCTAATATATTGGTCTTACGTAAATGAAAAATGATATTGATTTTATGTAAACTATTAATTTGAATACATATAAATATACATAACATACATATTAATAGCCGAGTCCCCGTATCCTACTTTTTACAAATTTGTTGTGTCTCGTACCCATGCAACTTAGGTTACTAGTGAATTTCGGGCAAGGTTTTAAATGGCGGCTGACAAGTCAGTTTTGGAGCTCCAACGCCAGGATATCATGCTTCCGAAGTCATATGATGTTTTGTGGATAAATGTCGGGACATGTCAGACATATCGACCGATATGTTGACCTCCAAATATTGGTCGATATGTGGATTTTTAAGATCTTACTCTTTCGGGCTTGGGTTTTTAACCCAAAACCCGAACCTGATTATCCAATTGTTACATATCCAATTAAAAGAACTTGATAGCCAAGTCTAGGGAAAAATCATGCCTCAACAATAAATTGCTCAACTCCTCCTTCACTTTCTCTAGGAGATGAAATCGACTAAGCGTTTGACGCCAAATTTCCAACGACGTTGCATTGAGGTTTCGATGATGAAGGGTTATAGGGCCTCCGTCCTACCCTTGTTCTATCTCTCTCTTTTTCATTCTTTCTCTCCCTCTCATTCTCTCTCTCTCTCTTGCTGCCTCCCTCCCACCTTTGTTCCCCTATAAACCTAACAGCTAAAGATTTTGGATAAAATGGTTTCCTGAAAGAAAAGTTTTAAATGTTGGATGTCGGGGGCATATGCCCTATTGGATTGCAGAAATCGGGGAAGTATCGAGGATATGTAGTAAATACCGGATTGCCATATCAAATGGTGTGCATTTAATGTAGACTAACATAACACCTAACAACTAATTAATGTGTAAATTAGCGATACCAAATTTTGTCAATTCTTCGTCTCTAAATTATCAATAGTCTCCCATGGGGGTTCTGACATTAACTGCTTTCAGTGTCCATTTTGTGAAACAGGCTCGTGAGAAGTTTTTATCACTGAAGAAAGGCACGAGAGCTGACATAGCCACCATCTTGGAGGATGTAATTACCAACAGCCATCTTTCATAAGTGAATTGCATTGTTTATAATGACAGAATTATCATCTTTCTTTTCCTGTACTTCTGTGTGCCTTTTTGTTTGTTAAATAGTTGGTATAATGAAATTCTGTACCTAACAGGAGTTATACAGTGCTAGATCTTCGTTTGAGCAGGCCCGTTTCAATCTGGTAGTTTCACCTTACAAGATTTGTGAAAATTTGTTCTCTGCTGTTTTCTTCTTTCTTATGCAAATGAAGTAGAAAAGAAATGAAGTAGAAAGCATATGCACATATAATGCTGTTGTATTCTCCTTCCAGGTCACTGCTCTTTCAAATATTGAGGCAAAGAAAAGATTTGAATTTTTGGAGGCTGTTAGTGGAACAATGGATGCGCATCTTCGTTACTTTAAACAGGTGATTATGTTATCAATTTTACATTGTCGTAACATTTGTTTTCACGTATTTTACTCATGTCGAATCCATCTCTTTGGTGTGTCATCAGGGGTATGACCTATTGCATCAGATGGAGCCGTATATTAACCAGGTCTTATTTCCACTTCATGTACTTACAAAGTGCTTCCTCTACGTTTTATATGCTATCTTTGCACTCAGATAGCTGTTAGATTTAGTTATATTTTTGTGGCTTTAATAAACTTTAGTCCAATGTAATTTTCTGATATTTTCCTCTTTAACTTATGATTAAGATATCAGAATGACAAGAAAAATGATATGCTAACTTCTGCCACAAATATATATGCTTCTTCTTGGTCCTCATTGTCTCCCGCTGCAATTAGGGACATCTGAGTGCTTCAAGTTGCCTATTGTCGTCATAGCCTCTCCTGATAATTTCCTTCTTGCTTTGCCGATTCTGCGATGAGAAGGATAGTCAAAAAGTGTAGGACCTGATCACCTCACTCACTATATAGACTTAGGTTGTGTTTGGACCTGTGGTGTAAATGAAGCAGGTCAAACCTGATGAGTTTCGTTGAGTAAGGGTGTCAGGCTCTAACGCTTTGCAACTATTCCTCTCAATGTATTGGTCGTAGAGTGAGGAGGAAGTGGCTGGGTGAAGCTGCAATGGTGGCAGGCAACTTGTTGAAGGAGGTCACATTGGAGGACGTCCTCAACTTTAGTTGGGAGGCGTCGAATATAAAGGAGAATTAAGTACACCAGTTTCCAGTATTGTCTTGTCCCAACATGAGATATGACTTAATTAGCCAGCTGCCTTTGCTGTTATAGAGGCTTTAGTTTGAAATCGTGGGTTGCTTCATTCATTTCAGAGTGCAAATTCTAAACCAAAACAAACAATATTTCTTCTTTTTTCTGCTTCCTGTGGATGATTATGAAAGTCCTGAAAAAGTACATGCGAAAAAGTAGGTCTCTTTCCTAATCTGAAATGAGAACCTGCTATATTAAAAATATGTGATTCATGATGAAAGAATTAGAAAATTTGCTGAAAACGTGCTAGGAACAATAGAATAAATTGTGGATTACTTTCAATGCCTTCTCATATATCTTTAACAATATTTCTTCCTCACTCCTAATTAGAAATTTTGGATAGCTTTTGCTGTTTTCATATCCTTTTGTATGTGCATGCTTGTGCATGCGTGCGTGCGTAGCTTAGTCTAGTATTTATCATTATATAATCATCAACTATCACAAGGTACCATTATTCACTTGTTTTTGAATGAGGTTTCTACTTTTAAGGAGAGAGACAATTATTCGGCTGAAATTTTTGAGAAATTTCTGACTCATCCTATAAAACACATGGGAATTTTGGGCTAGATAGGCACCTTTTTTAATCTAATTTAGACTTGCCAGGTTGGGGTTTTATTTTATCATGCAACCCCTCATGCATAAATGATAATTGGAAAAAAATTACTGTAGAAATCAGAGCATGCACTCAAATTTTCCATCCCAATTGAATTATGCACTGCCAGAAAAATGGATGCTGATTCATGTGATTTGATGTGTTGAAGGTTCTGGCGTATGCACAACAATCAAGAGAAAGGGCTAACTATGAACAGGAAGCCCTTACATCAAGGATGCAAGATTTCAAAAAGCAAATTGATCGAGAAAGTCGGTGGTCTTCAAATGCTTCACATGATTCTCCTAATGGAGATGGCATACAAGCTGTTGGTAGAAGTTCCCACAAAATGATAGAGGCAGTGATGCAGACAGCTGTTAGGGGAAAGGTACTAATTTTCTCGACATACTTCTGGGCCTTCTGGTTAGATGCCCAGAACCTTAACAGTGCTAAATCAAAGAAATGGATTCATGCAACTTCCCCAAAAATTTTCAAATAAAGGCCTAGTTACTAGTTGTTATATATTCATCGTAGCATTCTGCTAGTCCTGTTCTGATCAATTTTCTGTTTGAAGTTGCTGACTACCAAAAACCAACGCTCTTAGTGAAGCTTAGGGATAATAAATTATGTTTTTATTTGGAAAATAATCTTGTTTTAGAACCTTCTAATGGAAAAACGTGTTTAACTCATATAACAACTGACCCTTAATATTGTATCTTATTCATAATTTCTGTATGATAGTGCAGGTTCAAACTATTCGACAAGGTTATCTTTCAAAGCGATCATCAAACTTGAGAGGTGATTGGAAGAGAAGGTTTTTTGTTCTTGATAGTCGAGGAATGTTGTATTATTATCGAAAGCAGTTTAGCAGGCCATCTGTAAGGTTCCTGATTCTGAATAAAATCAGTTAGATTACTGCCTAAATTGTTTATCACTGTTTTTGTAAATTTTAACAATGCTTTCTGATTGTGCCTTTTCTTTTGCTATATTTATCATGCATTTAAACAATAGGGGGTTGGCAGCCATCATTCTAATCATAGGATTCAAAATTCTTCCGAGCATGGTTCCGGATTGTTGAGCCGGTGGTTCTCTTCTCATTATCATGGAGGCGTACATGATGAGAAGTCTGTTGCACGTCATACTGTGAATCTGCTTACGTCAACAATTAAAGTTGATGCAGATCAGTCAGATTTAAGATTCTGTTTTAGGATTATTTCACCAACAAAGAACTACACATTGCAGGTATATTGTTTGGTTACTGGAGTGATATTAATAACTCCCTTGCTTGTAGATTAAGGAAGATTCTTGATGTTCTTATTCTGTGTCTGATTCACATTTTTTAGTGCAGGCTGAGAGTGCAATGGATCAGATGGATTGGATTGAGAAGATAACTGGTGTTATTGCTTCACTACTGAGTGCTCAGTCCCCAGAACTGGTTAGTTCCAGACTATTTAGTACTTGGTAACATCATTACAGGTTGCATAATTTTCACGCTTCATGTTAAATCGATTTCAGCGCCTGCTTAGCAGTCCTACGAGCAGTGGTCATAATCGCACTGCTAGTGCTAGTTCATTTGGCAGTTCGTCAGATCTCGACCCTTCAGTTGAAGAATCGTCTTTAGAGAGGAACTGTGTTTCTGGGCATTCAGAACGTAGTGCCAGAAGTTCACAGCAGCATAGATTCCATGCCAAACATGAAAAGCCAATTAACGTTCTAAGAAAAGTTAGCGGTAATGATGTTTGTGCTGATTGTGGAGCTCCTGACCCAGATTGGGCATCTCTGAACTTAGGCGTGCTTGTATGCATCGAGTGTTCTGGGGTCCATCGAAATCTTGGTGTGCATATATCAAAGGTAAAGTATCTGTATGTTAGCACCACTAGTCAAATTGGCTAGAAATCTTCAAGTTTAAGCCATATATATTTCCCACATGTATTATGATGTGCATATCAACGTCAATGGTGCAGGTCATCCTAATTGATGACCCACCATCTACTAGTAGGTGAGTACAAACTTTTAGTTTGTTTAAAGAACATTAAAACCTTACCCATATGTGTCTATGAGTATCACAATCTCTCTCTCTCTCTCTCTCTATATATATATATATATATATATATAGAGAGAGAGAGAGAGAGAGATTGTGATACTCATAGACACATATGGGTAAGGTTTTAATGTTTATATATATATATATATATATATATATATATATATATAATAAGCTATTATGAGATATTGTGAGATGCGATTAGATATGATTTTATCTCAAACCTATTTTGTAATATTCTCTTAATCTCTATTTAAGAGAGGTTAGGGTTAGATTAATGATAATCTTTTACCTCTTCTATTTTCTCTACATGGTCTTATTGATCTTAAAGAGACTTCTTTCTTTTTCCTCGACCTCGGGGCCACCAAAAGGTTTTACTGCCTCCATGCTTCCTCTTCGCCGCTACGACAACACCTACGGTGGCTTCAACAATATCTTTGATTTCTACATTATTTATTTACTATATCTTTGTTGAACCTTAATTTAAAAACAAGCCCTCCCTTGAAAAACCCTAACCTCAAAAGAGAAAAACATCATTGTTCATTGTTCATCATCGGTAGTGTTCATCGATGAGTAGATACCCCGTGTACTGTTCATCATGAACACTCTCTGCCCTCATCCAATGGTTGGATATAAAAGTACGTAGTTGATTCCGACGTCCGCGTAGGGTTCTTTATGCCGGTTGACCTGCCTAGAGTTTCTATTATGTTGGCTGATCCGCCTAGGGTTCTTTCTGCTGGCCAAAATGCCAACGTTTTTCATTCTATTGGCCGACCCGCCTAGGGTTTCTCTCCACTAGCTGACCGTCTAGAGTTTCTTTCTACTAGTTGACCCACCTAGGGTTTTTAGTGATTGACTCGACTATGGTTTTTACTGGCAGTGATTACACTTTTCTGATTGTTAATGTTTTCAAATATTCCAAACAAAGATGGCATTACGAAGCTCTTGCAACTAGCTATTTTGTTTCTATTTATAACAAGCTGGATATATATAGTATATATGCTCCAGCTTGAGGGGAAGTGTTAGATATCAATAGTATTTAGATCTAGCGGATATTATAAGATATTATGAGATATTGTGAATGATTAGATATGATTTTATCTCGAACCTATTTTGTAATATGCTCCTAATCTCTATTTAAGAGAGAGGTTATGGTTATATTAATTATAATTGTTTGCCTTTTCTATTTTCTCTACAATACAGCCCCCAGCCCACACGCACACACGCCCACCCACACCCCCACACACCAAGAAGCACCCCATTTTCGTTTAAGAAATATGTAGTTAGGTACCTTGCTAAGTGGTATCATCCAAATATATTGGAGGTACTAACATGAACATTTAGTGATATTTAAATGGCCCAAAGACAACCATGGGATTAGTTGTGTTCTTTGTTGTGTTGCAAATTAATAATTTTATGTCTTTTCAGGTGCGATCTCTGACACTTGATGTCAAAGTGTGGGAACCTTCTGTTATTAATCTATTTCAGTCACTCGGCAATAATTTTGCCAACTCCATCTGGGAGGAATTGCTACCATCAACAAGTAATGGGCAAGTTACAGATAGATGCAGGTAATTCTACATGGTGACATGGACGAGACACCTTTTGACTGTATATGCTTCTCTTGGAGGATCTGACATTTCTTTTTGATATATTTTTTTCTTAATGCAGTTTAGATCAAAAACAGCTACATATATACAGTACAAAGCCCAAGCATACTGATCCAATTTCAATAAAGGAAAAATTCATTCAAGCAAAGGTACTGCAGATAAGCATATGTCCAGTTTATCTTTATAATTTTATTTATCAATGATCGGTTTAGGCATAAACATCCTTTTTCACTATTGGATCTACTGTAAACAGAATGAAAGTGATGTAACAGAATCTCTTTAAAGAGTACACAGGTGAGATAGGAGTTAGGTATAGTCATTAGCAATATGCTTGGTGTTGAGGTTTGCAAAGACAAGCACTTGAGACACCTAAGGTGCCCAGGCACCAGCCTGACCCATATGAGTCAAGGTGCGAAAGGCGCCCACCTCTATTTTGAATCGAGATTATTCTGCCCTCTATTTTATGTGTCAAATTACTTTCATAGTCCATTACGGTACACCATATAATAAAAAGGGTTAACTTCAGAAAACCTCCTGACCTTTTCTTTTTTGGGGTGGAGGCGGGGATGTGGGGTTTTTTTCGCGCGTGTGGGGTGGGGTGGGGGGTGAGGATTGGAGGTTCTTCTCTTTTCAATAATCTGTTGTGTGTGCTATTATATTTGTGAGGGTGAGATACTGAGATCCATTCTCTTACTATTTCAATCCATATTTGCTTTTTGTTTCTGTGCATGCATGCCTGTATATTCGTTGGACAGCGATTCCTTCTGTTGATTTATATATGCTTTTCTCCGCCCTTGCATTTATCTGTGGAGAGAGAATCATTCTCTTATCGTTTCAGCCTTTATCAGTTATGTGTATTTACATTTGCACACAAGTACATATGTGCACTTATGTGTGTATTTGTTTGTGAGGGAGTCCTTTGTTTGCTCTATATCTGCAGTAGAGTTACTTTTTGATTGTTATGCATTTATAACTATTATTTAAAGGAAGCTATAGTATTGCGTGCTTACATGCACACACGTACGTATGTACACATGATGTATTTGTTTGAAAGGGAGTTCTTTGTTTGCCATCTTCTCGTAGGCGTTTTTCCCCAATTGAATCGGGGGATCGAATTGATTATAGAAAATTGTGTTTAATTAGTCGACTTATTAGTGAACAAGGGAAAATATTATCTAGACGGGTGAATAGATTGACCTCTATGTGTGCAGTAGAGAGTGTTTATTTGTTATAAATATATTACGGTTATTTAAAGTACCTAGCATTTTGGTAATGCTAGGTCATGTGTCACACTGTTAAAAACCCAAAAATGGCTCACAGCCTATTAATACTTTAAATCTCATGGGAGGGAAAAGATGGGAAAATAAGCAAACCCCGCATGCATTCAGCACCGCCACGGTCCACTACTTCAACATCCTCATGTTCATGTGTCATGCACGCATCACGTCCACCAAGAGACTACTCTAGACTTACTCTAGATTAAATCTCTTGCTGACTTGCGCTTTCCTAAGGATTGCTTTAAGAGAGTATCTCTCTAGCAACTGCCACCGGCAATGCCACGTGTTCTTAGAATGTGATTCTGAATTTATGTTCTCTATTCTTCCAGTATGCAGGCAGAAGCGTCTTTGGTTAATAAATCAAAGGAAAGATTCCGATCTATTATTGACGATCCCAGCAAATCATGGGATAGTGTCCGCTACTAATAACAAGAAAGCCGTGGTATTCAGGTATAGTAAAAAAAAATAACTCATTGAAAATGCTGAGTGTAATTCAGTATACGCGCAAACTATCATTTAATTCTTTCATTAACTCTTGCCCCAAAAGCAATGCTTCGTTCAAGAGCAGTCAACCACATATGTTGGATCGCGCAGCTGCTAGCTGCCCCCATAGCTTGCGGATTCCAACTTATAAGCGCTCCTGCCTGAGCCCTTGTAGCACTTGGCGATACCAATCGAGGAAAGAAATAAACTCGGATGCATGTTTTTTGAGGGCTGCTTCTCTACTTCACCTAGCCCTTGCCAAACTCCAGATGATTGGCATGGTTAGAGTCCTCTTACAGGTTATGTCGCCCCAATGTAAATGCCTGCTGTATCTCAAGGGCAGGACACCACTTCTGCATTTTTGTCCTCAGCTGACAAAAAAACTTTTGCCTAACGCTACTTTCAGCGTTAATTTTTAAGTGATACATATTGTTTCTCTACTTATCTACGAGGAATATTTCTATCAATGTTACTGCCCAAACTTGACTTGGTCACTAGTTAGCCATCATCTTTAAATGCCCAAATTATTTCCTGAAACTGTCTTTTCGCTTCCTGTAATATATTCTAGATTTTCCCATCACATAGTGGAGAAGGAGACATTGCCTACACTAATTGAATGGACTAACATCGGTTCATATGAGAAGCAAGAGACCTTCCCTCTGTGTGCGTGTGTTAAAGTGGGGTGTGTGTGGGTGTGTGAGTACATGCGGTTATGTGACCTGTATGCAGTGTGTGTGTGTGTGTGGGGGGGGGGCGCGGGGGTATCCGTGGGGGCTATTTCTAGAATATTACCTAAATGATGCGATGAATGTACCTCTTAAGACAATTGTATTGATCATGCTGCTGCTTGCGTGCTTACGCTCGTCTCTGCTGTGATAATAATTAGTTTTTGAACTCGAATCCTCCTCCTCACGCACTCCCGCTCTTGAAACGGCCGCGAGTGTTCGAGTCTGTATTCTTCTTCTTTTGAATTTTCTTCATAAATTTCATTTGAGCTTAGATATTTGCGTGTTGTCAAATCAATTGCTCATTAATTTTGATGACGATCACGAAAACACAAGTAAGAATAGACACATGCATGCCACAAATGAAAAAATGACTTGCCTGGACGAGCTAAACAAGCTGTTTGCAACTTCCCACTCAGAGAGGAAACCTTAAGACCTACTACAAAAGTCTAAAGTGCCAAGTTTGCTAAAAAATATGTTGAATACACAATATTCACTGCTGAATAAATAGACTGGCGATTGTATAAACAAAAAAATCATTGCATTTTGACCTTTACCCATGCTAGAAATGGTGGCAAAATGCGCAGGGTTTTTCGTTAAATATAACTTAAAGAAATTTCATGATCATGACGGTGAGATTTCATGTAGAGTATGCCCTCGCTCGCTCTCTCGCTTCAACGCTTGGAGTTCATTTAACTCATGAATCACAACTGAAGATTTTAGTTGTATTATTTAAGAACTATTTCATTTTGCAACCAATTGATGCATTGGAGGAAAAAACACCTTTAAATGGTTTTTCATTTATAGATCATGCCTATAACATCTCGAGAAGCCACGTTGTCATTTAATTTTACGAATCGTGATCTTACCTTTATATGGTCTTTTGTTATAGCCTAAAATAATTCGCTGCAGGGGGGAAAAGATAAATTTTCAACTTGCTTCAAGCTCCTTTAATGCAGCGGCGCTCCGTTGACAAGGACGATTAAAACCCCGTTACAGTATGCCAATGGATAGTGGATCCCATCGATTGGATGAGAGTTACTTGTTCTTCTTAGAAAGCCAGATAGCCACCTAATTTGTTAATTAATAGGGGAGGGAGGAGGAAAGCGGATGGTCTTGGCAGAAGTATTTGCATTCCTCAGGTATGAATGAGATAGCTCTTCAAGAGAATGAAAGTTGATAGCTTTAAAGCTATGGTCCGCTGAAGTGTTTTAGTCTGAGCCGTCATAGATCATCAAGGTCAACCATTGCATAGAGTCAGCTGGCCATTTCATTTTGGGTTTTTGTTGTTTATATCTAAGGTTGCTCTTTTATTTGGTCCAGTTTTGTTGTTTCCGTGTATACGCCCGTTGCCTTACTCGGTGACCCTCTGTCCTCCTCGCTCGCTCTCTCTCCGTCCGCTCCTTTGTTAACTTTTTTGAGCGTGGTTTAGCTTGCTTGTTGGTGAGAACAAATACAAAAATAAAACTTTGTAAATATATGTTACACTTGAAGGTAAAAATTTTAGATTGAAGGATGACGTGAGGATGGTAAATTTGTCATTTTATTCGCTTTATTGTCATCTTTTCAAGTTTATGATATGATCCCTATTCATTCTTTATATTACCAAAGGATCTCTTGCCCCAGCGCAAATATAATTTTGAATTTGATTTGCCGCATTCGCCAACGTATAGTTCTGCTTGATGCTTCTTTTAAAATGGCGTGCGATTGCGGTATTTAAACCTTCATCCCAAAAAAATTGACTACGGCTTAACTAAATTATCCATAATGAAAAAGGGTTGCAATTGCAAATTAAGCTTTGTATTCCAAACGCTCTCTCTTGAACGCTTAAACTCTCTGGTTTAGAAAGGTGGGTGCCCAATTGAAATAACTTCACAATTGGTTACATTGCTTGGAATGCATTTAAACTTGTAAAGCGCTGCGGTGAAAGCTTTGAAAATGGTTTCAAATCAACCATGCAAGTTGAAGCAAAGAATTACCTTATACCTACGAGCGCCCTCCGCATTCCTAAATTCTTATTTGCCAATTGGATTTGGCAGCCATAATCACAGTCAAACATTCCGCCTTTTCCATTTTTTTACTTTCCGAGATGCCTCAATCATGGCCGTCCATTCAATGAATTGGAGAACATGAAGCGCAAGCATATGCGCTCTCATCATGAGTGTATTCTAACAGTTTTTTTAATTTATTCCTTTTGGTCTCTTTTTTGATAATGTTAATTACTAATAAACTCTAGCTTTTTGAACTTTAGAGCACACTCTTTCCTTGGTTTAATACTAAGAACATGTGCATGCGGCTAGTTTAGGAGTTTACAAAAGAGAAAAAGTTTAACGTGGCACTTGGTTGTATGAAAAGAACATGTATATAATTAATACGCTGCAAGGTAAGATAAAGAGATAATGAGAGCTGAGATTCCTTTCAAACTTTACTAGGCGTGACCTAATCTTACCTTAAATATTCAGCTGATCTACGTAAGTCATTCTGCCCTTCGGCTCCTTACCTAGAATAAACTTGTCCAATGTGTGAAAGTGATCGGAGACACTAACTAGAAAAGCTGCGATGATAGTACAATATACGCATTTTTTAACTTTTGTTTAATTTCTTAAAAAATATCGTGAAATGATCATTGTACTCTTTACGTGGGGAAACTTATCCAATGGCTATTGGAATATAAAACATGTAACTCTCAATCTTCACTGTAACTTAGAGTTATGAGGTAAGCGTCTTTCGTCATGGTTATTTGGTAAGCCGTCTCGCGCACGTTTAATTCTCCTTGCTCCCAAATTTAAAGCCCGGATCTAAAAGAAATTTGGATGCGTCGTTGAGTGAATCCATATTTCATCCATAAGAAGGACGTTCAATTTGCTTCTCCTTATGTTTTTAGAAAATTTTACGGCTATCCCTTTAAACATTCTTATTTATTTTATACTAAGTCATAATTCATCGAGATTGCGTATTTTTAATTAGATATGATTATCGGATATTGGCATTTGTATATTCTCCAACAAAATTTTAGTTATTATTGCCTTGAAATTTTTGCTTATAATAAGGCATGTATCCATGCGTTGCCTACTAATAAGCATGTATCATGTAGTTTGCCAGAATCTTGTGTGTATGCATCATGCTGACTCATCACATGATCTTCTTGTGTATTTATATATTCAGTTAGCTAAACTAAAAATACTTCGAATGTACAAACATTTGCAAGATCTAGCAAATTTTTAGATTATTAGTATCATTTATACTTGTCATATTATTAGTCACTGCTACATAAGCCACTTAAAAGGGTTCGCATGAGGTGACGTGATGTGTCATGTTGATATTTTTGAGCCCAGATTCTTACGTTGTTGGCGAACAATCCATAGCCCTTATTTTAGCAGATATTTCAATACATATATTCTAATATTGCAAGATGAAAGAAACAATACCATGTCGGTCGGAAGACCTATCTCATAAATCAATACCGATCTTGTAATTCAACCTATAATCATCTCCCTTAAGTGATGAATACCAAATTTCCCATAAAAATCAGATGAAGGCTAAATTATAAAACTGTTGCTATCTCAATTTTGTTGCTACGATAACACCCGTCAAATTTAATTTTGGAGGGTTGAACTTTTTCAAATTAACTTTCAAATCATGGATGCTATATAGTGAAATCCATACAAAAAATAGTCTTGATTGGAAATTAAAGAATGATTCATACAAAAAATTCATGAAATGAATTTCTTTAATTTTTCAGTTCACTTGAACCCAAAATTAGGAAGGTGTCTTATGTTCATCTTTCAATTATGTGTGATATCAACAAGCGAAAACAAAAAGTTTTGTTAGTAAACATAGGTTATTCTACAACATTCTTCCTGGTTTTTTTGGGCGACCAAACACCCAGTAAACCATTCAGACTCGGGTAACACAAAATTTTAGAAAAAGAAAAGAGAAATTTCCTGAAAATACAAAATGGACTACGTCTTATCGGGAGCCGATAATTTCCCGTGGCACGGATAGATTCCGACGTTCGCTTTCGCCCTACGCGTCTGAGTAGAGACCGCCCCTTCTCCCTGCCCACATTTTCCCCTGTGGGGCGCCCACTCTACATTTTCTGCCCAAATTTGCGCGGGAAGTTAGAAAATAAAGATTACATTATACTCTCACTCTTCTTTTGTTTTTATCCCTATATACGATGCCTCCGTTCAAACTAACCAGAATCTGTTACGTCCGTATTGCTCGGGGCAGTATTATATGACGGGAATTATTTTTTCATCTACCGCCCTACACAATCTGTTATTTGAAAAAACTCACTAGTTTCTCTCGCTCTCTGTGCCTAAGCTCTGAGGATGATTGGATCCTTTCAAATCATGCGCCTCGCCTAATTATGTTTTCACTAATTTTGTGAGAGAACTGATTCTATTTTAAATTTTCAAGGGGGAAGAAAAATGCTTCAAGGCTTTTTCAAAAATCAAAAAATCATGTGCTCCCAGTTCCCGCCTCACATTATTTTTGTAATGTGCTCGCGGCGTCCCAAAATTGTTGAAAAAAAAATTGACAAGCCCCTCCATCATGACTCCAGCTTCATGTGTTCCCTATAAAATTTTTTCAATTTTACCCCTCATAAAAACGCTGTTCATCTCCCTTCAAAATCATCACCTCTTCTTCACTCCGTCTTTTTACACACCGCACCACCACCGCCGCCGGAGCTTCCGCCAACCAAGAGCTATCTCCCCA